GTGCTCTATGAGCAATCTGCCCATTCTCACCTGTCATGACTTTGTTGTTTCCGTAACCTGTTGGTATAGTGTGGGAGACTGCCCATTACATGCCCCAATGCCAGGGGGCGCCATCTACAGCTCCAACCTCCCCTACACCACAGTCCATGCTTCACAGATGGCATCCACATAATGTTCTACATGATGTTCTTAACCCAGACCATGACTGGTGCTCCAGGGTCTCACAGGGACTCTCACTCTCCCCCCAGAGGAGCAGGTCATTGCACATGCTACAGGTCTTATTTTTGAGCCACACTCAGCCTCCTAGTAGTGGAGGACTTACCAGGGTCAGGACTTACCCCTCTTGCTCTTGCTGAGCCCCCTACTCAGCCTGTGGCCAAAACTACGGCCTTAGGCATCTGAAGACATACCTTGGCCTACTCCCCTCACATGAGGTTCCTACCAGGCCCTCTCTAGGGCCTATGCACCACACCCCACCCTGGGGTCTGCTCATCATCTTCCAAATCAACTGCTAACAGGGCTGGCCCTGTTAAAGCTTACTCCTAGTTCAGCCCTATTCAACCCCCCTCAAGCACAGTCCTTCAGGCCTACTGCCATTCAATCCTACTGTGTGTGAAGCCACAACTCCACCCTCTTCCTTAGGGCCTCACGACACTGCCCTCTCTCAGGGCTTCAGGGTCCACCACCCCCATAGGCTCAGGTGGCACTCCATTTGCCATGCCTGGCCACACTACACTCATGACCTGGTGTCTTACACCCCACCTCACAGGCTCAGGTGGCTGCAGCCATGCCTAGCCCCACTCCTGCCTCTAAAGCCCACCCAAAGATAGGGCTGGGGTTAAGGTGCCCCTCCTCATCTTTCACCAGGGAGGTAACTGGCCTGGCATTTCCTGGGGACTCCTGCACCACCAGAAGCCCCACCAAGCCACCTTTCCCTAGCAGGACGCAGTTTCAAGTCATACCCAGGCCCAAAAGCTTCCAGCTCCTACCTGCTAACTGTTCCATGCAGTTCAGCCGGGTGCTGTGTTTATATAGGCAGCCAGTGTTTTAAAATGGCTGCTGCAATCAAGCACCTGCTGGCCGCTTGACTCAGCCCTTAAAGTGGCAGGCACTGCAAGTGCCCTGCCACACAAGTGAACCAATCTGCAGAGCTGCTACCTGCTTTTCTGACACCCTTCTCCATTAGGTCTGCTGGCTGTAGTACCTGGATCATAAGGATCCTGTCTTAAGCCACTCTGACTTGGACACTGACACCAATTTAGAGTTCAACTACATATCAACTTCATATCAGTGTCAGTCCAGTTGCACAAGGGGCACATTCTGATGATGTGTTCCTGGTTAAGTGAGAAGAAGCAAATCATAGTAATCTCTTCTGGGAGCAAGTGGCTTCACATAGCCCTTTGCAAATAGGGATTTTTTTTTCTCTAGCATCCTTCTTCTAAAGATGCTTGGCACAGGGCTGTAGCTTTAATTTTGAAAGCAGACTAAACAACAGAGCAAGTCAGGACCCATTAAAAATGTGACAGTGTGGCAGCAGGCTAGCCACGCTTCTTGAAATCTTGAGCCTTCCATCCCAGTCCCCCTCCCCCATGGGTCCCTTCCCTGGCCATCTCTGCTTTTTCCTGCCTAAAGCTCTATTTGTTTATTATTTTCATCTCCCTTATGAGCTGCCTTGTGTTTATCTCACTTCCCCCTCCTCCTCTGTCTTTGCCCTGGCCTTCAACCATTGGTTAGAGGAGGAAGCCTAGGGATTCTCTATATAACTAACCACTCCATTCAAAACCATTTCAGTAAGACTGCAGGCGGCAACATCCTCAAGATCACCACGCACATTAAAGCAAACTCCAGAATCTAAAATCTGTGGGTCTCACTGGGGTCTCCAGAACAAGCCCAGCTGTCTGCTCAGGAAAAAGGAACCATTAGCGTGAATGAAATTAATCCAAGGAGCTTCCAAGTTCATAAGGACAAAGGAAGGTAATTTATTTCTGAGGAAGGCTTTATTGTTTCATGGAGTGATTTGCAAAACATTAAATCAACAACTGATTTCATAGCTTTTCAGAAATAACTTTTCAGAAAAAAAATAACTTTTGCATGCTTGTCTGTCATTCCCTCTGCATCTATATGTTGTGTGACAAACTGAAAAAAAGATTGTGCAAACTAATCAAGGTGTTCTTCAGCTGCCTAGGGACAAAAAACGGGAACTTGGTACAGGTTATTGCAAACCCTTTATTTCCCCCATTCGTTTACGAACCAGGTTGCACTCAGAGCAAAGGGGCATCTGGGGACATGAAATAATCTTTTTTTTACATTATTTTTTGACAGTAAAGAGTTACCTTCAGAAAAAGTTTGTCTCATAATGTGTCAGGGCCCTCTAGCAAGGACATCCCCATACACTTGCAGTGCCGTTGGATGAAACAGGTACATAGTGCTGTCTCCCTGATTGTGGCAGGTTGACACGTGGCAGAGGGATAAGGTAGTGGCTGTGTCAAAGTGAAATTCTTAACTAAGGATCTAGTGGATTCTCCTGTTCTTATCCCAAAGAAAGTCTTAAAGTCCTGGCTTTGGCTATCTGACACCTTTTAGAAGTTAGTATTCTGAATGGGGTACTGGAAAAAGCCACATATGTGTTAAGCCTCCTATCTGAAAACTGTTTCAGTGAAGCTCATCTCAGAAGCATTGTTGAACCATGATTTTCTGTAGATTCATGTATGTTCTTAGTAGACTCTCAGGTAGACTGATCAGAGAGATTTAAGGAGTTGGTCATTGGTATAGTTATATGCATGATTTTTTTTCTCAATATGAGGGTCCCACTCTAGTATTCAAGTGTATCAGATGAAATAGAGGGTCTCCTTTAACCCTGAATGGGTGTGTTTCACAGTATGTATAAAAAAACTGACAAATAATTTAAGCAAAAAAGGGTTACAATTTTGGCTGATTAAAATCAACATTACTCCATGAGCCCTAGGGTCTGGCCAAACATGGGTGGTGTGCATGCAACGGGTTTTTTTTACAAAACTGTATACTAGTAGAAGTGTTGGCATAATTTAGTTTTATAAATTTCAAAAGCTTTGTTTACCATATAAATGTTCCCTGTGATGTTGACAACCCAAACATTGTAATATTTAACCAGAGCATGAGACACTAACAATGGGCTGGTAGTGACTGGTGTATTTTCATTGTCTGATCTGAGTGAAATGAAAAAAGTTAATGGAAAAAAACATGATTAAAAGAACCATTATGAGAATAATGGAAGCTATATGAAAAATAAAAAAAAAGGAACCTTTATAAAATAATGGAATAATAAAAGGAACAATAAAAGGAACCGTTATGAGAGAGACTCTTAGGATTGTGTAGGGAACACTAACTACTGGATACATTTTTAAGCCAAGTTATAGATTTCTAATACAGGAATATATATAATTATTATATTCAGTAAGATTCTATGGGAAGTGGCTCATTCCTCCTTAAATTCTTGATGTTTTTAGAGAAATGTCTATCTAATGGTCTTGAATGTCTATAGCACTGTGTTGAATTATTTTCTATTATGCTTTCTAACAGGGAAATTTAAATAATACATTAATATGATGGTTGATGAAGTTATTAGCAGAATCAAGAAAGATTATTTTTAACATGAGGAAGCAGCATAATTCAGTGAATTCTATTTCTGCCTCTGCCACAGACTTGGTATGTGTCACTGGGCAAGTTTCTTCCCCTCTCTGGGCCTCAGTTTCCCCATATGTATAATGAGGACAGTACTTCCCTCCCTTTGTTAAGTATTTTGAGCTTCATAGAGAAAAAGCATTCTCTGGACCAGGTCCTGCCCATTGATCTTCTAAAGATGCAGTGGTGATGATGATGGTGCCCCCTTCGAACACAGGGAATATTTACTTCAGACCAACAGTCCAACATTGCAAGCAAACTGAAGAGCCTTGAAATGTAAATAATTTTCAGACGTTTTAGGCTAAGAGGAAATAGAGGTAATTTTTTGTTAATTGCTTTGCAAGTATCTTGTGGGTCGTTAGAACTGCCTGATTCTGGAACTCTGGCCTGTACAAAGAATCTGACTGAACTCATTGGAGCTGCATATCTGCATATGTTTTGCAGGACTTAAGGCTGGGAGAGCAGAAAGGGACAGCATGTTATAGCATGCCTCAGGTACATTAATGGGTAGAGGCTATAATATAGCTGTGTTTAGTCTGTGCAGCTCAGCTCGCTGACTGAGGGCTAGTAAAAGCCTTTCAGCCTGTAAAGATATATTTGTAATGATCCTCCACTATCAATCCTCATCCTGGAATCTTTGACCATTTGATTGAAAGCAAAGACCTCTAGCACTTGAGCTAAAAAGAGTGACTCTATTAGCTGGCAGCACTAATAAGCTATTATTCTAATAAGTGGAACAGCCACCAGAGGGTGACATGGAACATCTTTTATAGTAAGTCAGCTTACCACAAAACTCCTGTCACTAAAGCACTTTTAAAAAGGTAATATCAAAAAGTGAAAATTTCAGGTATATAATATTGTTTGATTAAACGCTGCCATCTTATGGATGTGATATAAAACCAAGGAGACAGAACATGAGGTCATTAAAGATCTTGTGTTGTTCCTTGAAAGAGAGATTCTGTCTCAAAGGTATTTAGGTACATCTGTGCCTCTTCAGTATTAGTTTAACTAGGGAGAAGTGAGGGGCCACCAGCCAGGTTGTGGGAGGTGTCCAGAGATAGCAGCAGCTCAGTACTCCCTGCTCTCCGGCATATCTGCCCAGGATGCTGAAATTGCTACTGTACCTCTGCTGTTTTGGTACCTAAATCCACTATTTTAGAGCCATCAATATTCTCAAAACTGCTACTTGGTTGCCACCTAACCCTGATGACCTCTAACTCACATAGTCACTCATGTTGCTCCTAGTGGGCTCTCACAAAGCTGTCTCAGTGCTGACAGCACCTGACTCCACAAGTTGGTTAGAGCCCCCCACCCCCCACTCTGCGCTCCAGCCACTTGCCACACCACTCCCTGACACAGGCTGATATGCCACGGGCCCTGCACACCCCTAGGGGCAGCTCTGCCTACATGTTAGGCATTGCAGTGCCCAGGGTGCCAGAACTGAATCCAGAACCTGGACTGAGGTGCCGCCTGTAGCAAATAGGGAGAATGAGGCACCTCAGAAGGGCAATCCAAAGCCTTGTACGCTGCATGAGCAAAAGAAGCAAGCTTGGCATATGTCAGAACTCCCTCCACTTCCTGCAATTTAGGTGCCTGAATCAGGGCTGCAAGGGAAGCACCTCCATTCACATGGGACACTGAAACCAGAACCTACCACTGTGGTAAATACCTACAAGGATTCCTTGAAAGAGCCAAGCAGGGCCCACTCTTTTTAAACCACAGTTGGTGACAGTGCCTCCCTTTCAGATAAATAGCTTAGTGGTTAGCGAACTTGCCTAGGAAATAGAAGAACCCTGGTTCAGTTCCTTCTTTAGTCTGAGATCATTCAAATCCAGATCTCCAACCTCCCATGAAAGTGTCCTACTCACCCAGCTATAGCAGAGTCCAAGAGGAGGACACTGTTCACAATGCATCACTGTGCAGCAAAGAATGCAATATTCCATGGGCCAGAAAGACAGCAAGCAAGGACTTAACTGAACCTACTAGTTATAGATCTTAGCTGGGGTGGGGGTGTTGTTCCAGGTCTATTTATCCATGTTATATTACAGTCACTGGATAAAAACAGGTATAGTCTGGAAAGAGGATCAGACCAAGGGTTAATCCAATAATTCTTTGCAATATGACTTTCTTCCTTTCCTAAACTGTTCTGTGGTTTACCAGTTGCTGCCCTTCACCCTAGAGATGCATGGCATGGATATAGTTTATATAGATATATTGGATATAGTGGATATATTGGAGCACCAGCTTCAGGTGCCCACTTAGAAGGAACACAAAAATGGCAGCACCACCACTGCCACAGCTGTCCCAGTCCTTGCTGCGACTGCTGTTACCACTGTTCCCTCCTAGGATGTTTACAATTTAAACTGCCATGGATCTGATTAAAGGATGATAAAAAGATAGAATTGATTAAGCTTGCCTGGCAGGGTATAAGTAAGTGTGATGGAATGAAACTGAGCAAAGGACAGGTCCACTTTGATTAGTTCATTAGGAAATAATTCAAGTTAATTGTAGGTATCAGTGGAGTTTTTCTAACACCCAGAAAGAGCAAGATCATCTCCACAGAGCATTTCCTTTGTGTTCAACAGACTAAAAGTGTCAACACCTGGAAATGAGCAGCTGTTCCTTTAGGAGATGGGAGTTGTACTTGGTGACGCCTGGGGTGGTAGGAAATGGAAGAAGTGTGATGACGAGGCAAGAGACTTTTATCTACGTAGACTCTTTAAGCACTGTGTCTTCCCCTATCCTCCTCTTCGTATCTCCAAGTGCAACACCAACACGTAACATCAATCCCTCCTCTGTTTCCTCATGTATATCTCTCATGCCCTCATTACCCTGTCCCCATTTTGTGTCCCTGATCTTTTCTTTGTTTTTCTCTTCCTGCCCCACCCCATACTTGGCCTGCCTGCTGCCTCTCTGTCTCCCCAGTCTGAGACCAAGAAACACACTATTTTTGTATCCATCATAGTCCCTGGCCTTCAGCTTGATGCTCCCACTCAATTCCCTTTCCTGGACTCCTTCCATCACATTTTTATATGGTTCATTTCCACCCCCACACCAGCTGAGATTCTTGATATCCATGTTATAAATGAATCACATAGGTTAACGTCAACTTGCTAGAGGTGATGAAGAAGACCCTGACTCCTCCGGAAGTTAAGGGAAATCTCCCATTGATGTCACTGGAAAAGGGATCAGGTGCATGGGCACAGTGTTAAATGTAGGAGGTGACGTTCATGTCTGTCAGTCATCCATCCCTTGTCTCATCAGCAAGGTAACATCTGGCACATCCTAGACATTTAGATTTGTTACATCTATGC